CTTCATTATTGTCTTTACTTCCTTATCGGAAAAAAAGGTTCCTTGCCGAATTCTATTAAGGGATTCAATGTTTCATCTGCATAGCAGGATTTTCATTTTTTTTTTCCTAACAATTTTTCTGTTTATAATTTAGGGGAGAGTGGGCATGGTTGCAACAAGGGGCAGTTGAAACATGGCTTATTTCTTCAATCAGGATGATCTACAGTTCATACTGCACATGCTCAATTAGCCCCTTATCCTTCCTGGAAGAAAGCAGCCACATGTGACCATTCCTTCTTCAAAAAATAATTTTCATGGTAAAAAAGTAAATTTTTTTGTGATCAGATTTTTTGTCATACTGTCTAAGCTGTTTGCGTGAAGCATTGTAAAGACATAGCTGACATGTGCCAAAGATCTTGTGTCAAGCTAGTATAAGAAGTTTTATCATGGCTGTTAGTGTAGGGACCATTGAAACACGTTGTTGGAACTGTCCCAACATGCTGTTCCTTACCACAACATTGATGTAAAAGCTTGCCATAAAATTACAAAATTGTCATTTTATGGATTAATAAAGAACCCCTTTCAATAGTCAGGTATCTCACCTTTTTTTTTAGTAAATAGTTATTTTTTTAAATCATTTAGTCTAATGTGGACTTATTTCCTTCTCTCTCACCCTCTCTTTGTCACACACACACACACACACACACACACTTACTTATAAAGTCAGTTTAATAAATAATGGTAGATTTGTCTAATTTGAATCTGAAAAGTAAGACTGATTACCACTTGGTTAACTGCTAGTTAGTCAAACTGTCTTAATATAGTGGCTATGTTTATGCAACCCAGTTCAGTAAACTGTCACAGAAGTTAACAGAAGTAGGCTATTATTAAATTTTAGTCTTGATTTTGATTTAATTAATATTTTGTAGTTCAAATGTATTGTAATAATTAACCAAAATATTGTTGTTACTTGTTTCTAGAAAAAGTTTTTTTCCCCATTTACTATTCTTTGTTTTTATACAGCCAGTTTAACTTATTGAAGACCCTATCTGTGCACAAATAAAATAAAGAAATTGCAAAATGATATTTAAGAATGATTTTAATTACATATTAATGAATGTCGCAACATTTGACTTGGTCTATTCAAGTAGCTATAAATTGTATGTATATTATCATATGTACACGTTTCAGCAGTGTAGGTGGGTAGCTGACAGATGTGGCTTTAATGTATTAAAATTTTGGCTTTCCAATACAAACCGTCTCTGATAAACTGAAGGAAATGCAAAAACTGTTGCAACCGTCCCCACTCTCCCCTGCCTACAACAGTACTCAGCTTTGTACTCAGGCAAACACGTGTGTTTGACCTGGGGAAAAAAGCACACCTGTTCAAGAGTCCTTCAGCAGTGCTTCAGGACGTCAAGCTCGCGAAAATTCGCTATTCAGCGTTTGGTTGGGTAGGTTATATTGCACTGACACTAGAATAAATATTGTGCTAATAAAAACGAGCAGGAGGGAGAAAATCGACGAGGAGGGAGAAAACGGTGTTTATAAAGTTGCTTCCGTTAGTAGCCTACACGAGTCTTTAAGATTTGATTAATTTGATAAACGTTTGAAGACAAACACACGGGTAGCTAATACAAACACAGGTGGATTTTAGTTAGCGACTGTTAGCTACATATACGGACCAATAGATTTAAAGTCGGTAGTTAATTTTGCAGAAGGCAGATTTATCAAAAACAGGCATAGCATAGCGTGCTCCTTTTTATAATACAATATATAAGACAAATTAATGCTCACCTCTGTCGATCTGGGAAAAAAAAAAGAGTTTTCAAACCTTGTAAGTCGACTCTCATAAAGTTGGTCCAGAGGTTCCCGCAGTGGACACTTTAGATGAATCAACAAAAATGTTCAAGGGAAGTTCGAGCACATCGTATCAGATTTCCTTCCTTCAATCTGTGCCTGGGTTGTGCTGTCTGTGCTAAAACTGTAAGCGGTGATGTTCCGCCCCGTAATGGTTCAGTTATTCAGCTGTGTTACGTGAAAGAGAACGGCTGTTTTTTTTGGGGGGGGGAATCTCACTAAAGGGATATTCACCCAGCAATGGATATTCTGTCATCATTTACTCACCCTCATGTCGTTCCAAACCTGTATGAATTCCTTCTTCTGTGTAACACAAAAGAAAATATTTTGAAGAATGTTGAATGACAGTTTTGGTTACCATAGACTTCCATTGTATGAAAAAGTATGAGACATTTCTCAAAATATGTACGTTTATGTTTCACAGATGAAAGAAGTCATACAAAGACATGAGGATGAGTAAATGATGACAGAATTCCCATTTTTGAGTGAGCTATCCCTTTTATAGAGATATTACCCTTCAAGTACAATCTGATTTTTAGAATTGGCTATAGTGAATAAAATCAACTGTGATTCAGATTACCTGTTGTTTATTTAAAAAATTTTTGCAAACAAACATTTTAGCTTATGTGTAAATTGTTTGAGGTAGACAACCAATTCATTTAGACGTTAGAAGTTTAGACATAGAGGGATTTATAGTGGTTTCCCTAAGTTTGGTTCTTCTCTCAGCATCTCTCAACAGTTTGGTACAACATGAGGTTTAAAAGGGTAGGCTAGTCCAACCAAAAATAAAAGTTCTGTCATAATTTACCCACCCTCATGTTATTCCAAAACTGTCTAACTTCTTTTTTTTTTTTTTTTCGGTGGAACACCGAATGTGTGAGAAGTATTTATTTTTTGGTCTATACAATGGAAATCAAAGGTAACCAAAACTGTTAGTTTGCAAACTTACTACAAAATATCTTGTGTGTGTGTGTTTTAAAGGGTTACTCCACCCCAAAATGAAAATTTTGTCATTAATCACTTACCCTCATGTCGTTCCAAACCCATAAAAGCTTTGTTCGTCTTCGGAAAACACAATTTAAGATATTTTGGATGAAAACCGGGAGGCTTGTGACTGTCCCATTGACTGACAAGTAAATAACACTGTCAAGGCCCAGAAAAATATGAAAGACATCGTCAAAATAGTCCATCTGCCATCAGTGGTTCAATCTGAATTTTATGAAGCGACGAGAATACTTTGTATGTTTTCGTTCAAATCAAAGCGTAAATAAACATAGAAAACGTAATCCGTGTGGTGCGATTAATGACAAAATTTTCATTTTGGGGTGGAGTAACCCTTTAAAGAAGAAAGTCAAGTCAAGTCACCTTTATTTATATAGCGCTTTAACAATACAGATTGTGTCAAAGCAACTTTACAGTATTAAATAGGAAAATAGTGTGTCAATAATGCAAAAGGACAATAGTAAACACTACATTTTCAGCTAAAGGCAGTTCATCAGAAAGAAATGTAACTATAAAAAAATTAAATGTGTAACAGATTACATTTTTTGTTGAACTATCCCTTTAATAAATTATGGCAAAAATTTCATTTTGGGTGAACTGTTCCTTTAAAGATCTGGAAGTCACTACAATTAGTGCACTCTTTGCCTTTTGCCAAAGACATCTGCTAAATTAACATGTGACCACATGTTGAATGCTTATTGCCAAGGAAATTCCCTCATGAAGATGCTTATACATTGTGTAGCCTAGTTTTGTGCCATATTACAGCTTTTTAATTGTTTTAATTGTGTAATGTACGCTTTCACAGATCATCGGTGCATTTTTTGTCTTTATTTAAACTCCTTTAGTACTAATTTCTATTCAAAACTGCATGTTTTTGCATGCTTCCTAATGTTTGAACATTTAGGCAACATTTAACCACAAATTGCACAACAGCATTTTGTACCACATATATGTTAAAATAGTATATATATATATATATATATATATATATATATATATAAAACATTGATGAACAATAAAGAACAAATACAGTAGATTTTTTGTTATTTATTTTAATGCACATTTTCAGGGAAACATTTAATGTATAATTATATGTTTCTGTATTTTAAAATGTCATCAATCCCTTTAGAAAAAAACTGCTATGACTTTTGGTAACCAGTTATAAATATGAATTATTAAGTGCAAGCTTACACAACTGCAAGATGCTTTTGAGCAGTAAACCATGCTGAGCTTCCCTACATGAGAAAACACTCCCTGCCACAAGTCTCGGGCAAAAAAAAAAAAACAAGGCATAGCAAATGACAGACAGAAAATAAAAACACAATTTACCTTCACAACACCAGTTACAGAGTAAAAAACTAATAAAAACTAAACATGTAACATGTAACAGTCACTTACACTGCCTGAAGTATTTTAGAATGTGTGCATGTGTCAGTATGTATCTAGATACTGCTATATGTGTGCCAGAAAGGTAAACGTTTGGCTTCAAAGCACAGTGGAAAAGTTAGAAAAGCTCTTTGATGAAAATGACACAACATTGGTTTGGCACTACAACGTTCCTTCATTTAGTGCATTGTAGCAAATTAGGCCAAGAGACAGAGGTACGAGTTCACAGAGAGGGCGACAGTGCTGTGGCATTCAGCATGCAAACAGAAGGTTAGCACACACTAGCATAAATAGGTAATGCATTAATGCGTAAAGCAACACTGCAGTCAGTCCCTGGGCTATTTACATGGCTTTCATTTATGACTCTTAAGTTTCCAGAAACATCAACCCAGAGATTCATATGGAAATAAAAAACAAAAACGCTCCTTTTAGTTTAGGATTGGCAGATTATGTCACCAGCAGAGCAAGAAACAGAGCGACACAAGACGTAACTACATAACTAAATACAAAACAAAGTCAAAACATCCATCATCTGAAATACAGTGCACTTCTGGTTAATTAGTGATCAATTCGTTCATAACACTCCCAAAATATTGTGAGGAAAGAACAAGGGGATAGACTGCAATGGTTTGAGTTAAAAATCTTTGTTTGTGTTCTACTGAAGAAACAAAGTCACCTACATCTTGGATGCCCTGGGGGTAAGCAGATAAACATCAAAATTTCATTTTTGGGTGAACTATCCCTTTAAAGACAAAATTGGCATTTGGGGTCAGTTGCTCTGAGAGAGAGAAAGAGATAAAAAAACAGAAATAGTGGTGGGGTGTGTGTTAGGGGTGCAGATGACGATTAGAAGTATGCTAGAATGTTCTTATATGAGCATATTTTATTTGTTCCTTTTTGTAATGTGTATAAGATAATCACCATAAAGTTTTATCGGCTGAAGTCATGATCAAATGAAATGTTATGAAGTAAAATGGTGACAGATTTACACTCTGAACACCTTAGTGCAGGATGACTGTTTAGATCCATCAGGAATACTTTCTATTCCCATAGGCAGCAATGGTGTAGAAAAGCATATGCAGAGCATTACAATTAAAACATTATAATTAAGCCTCTGTACACTGCGACTACAAAATGCAACTCCCTGTTACATGTACTGAAGCTTATTTCATATGAACACAAAATATTAAAATGTGCTTCATGAGCATGAAAAGCACAGACATCAAGGATTCAGGAGTGTTTATGCCTGTTTGTTAAACACAGTGATGTATTGAGATAAACTAGTTATGAAGGATTATGGTTATTCTTCCTGTCCACCCACTGAGCAAAAGCATTGGAATCTGTGTCTGTTTTGTATGGATTTGTTTTTCAGTTTACATTTCTAATTGTTGTTGATAAGTGATTTCAAACTTGCAAAACAGACGCAAACAAATCAGCTGCATGTACTCCTGAAATCGTGCTGAAATAACATTCTGCGTCAGGTCGGAATGACTCAATGGAAAGACAAAGCCAGCAGATTCTGCAGGTTCTGTTCAGTTTGCAAGTTGTGCTTAGGATGTGACCCTTACAGCTTAAAAGGGTCTCATCCTTGTTTTAAGGCTTCAAAACTGTCCTAATGGCACACAATGGAAATTTGAAAGATTTATAACAGTATATTCATGTGTCAGCATGTACTCGCACATCTAACACATCTGTAACTCAGCAATTCTACATTCCAACGAAAGAGTAACACTTTAAAATAAGGTTCAATTTTGTTAAATCATTAGGTATATGAACGAAAATGAACAGCATAAATTAAATGAATAAAATGTTAATTTCTTCATGAACTAATACATTGAAATATCCAAACTCACCATGCCTAAAAATATCTGGGTGCGTAAGCCACAATAATCTGAAAAATTGCAAAAATGGTATGCACTCTATAAAGGTGAAAAAAAGCATATGCCCCAAAGGGCACTGAAGACGGTCATGCTGTGACTGAAACGTTTGCCAAAGCTTAGTAAAGCTGTTTTTCTTTTGTCTTTTTTTACCTTTATAGTGTGCAGTCTGTCTAAATGAACATTAGTTAATATATTATGAACAAACATGAATTGACAACAAACTATCATATTAAATTAAATAATAGTAAATTAACCTAGGTTACTAAATGCTGTCAAAATTGTTCATAGTTAGTTCAAGATACCCTAATCTTAACTAATGTAACTGAACCTTACTGAAAAGTGGTGTTACTAAGAAAACTAACCAAGTTAAAGAACTGATTTGGATTCCATGTCTGAGTGTAGTTAGCAAAGCAGTCCTCTGAAACATCTGAAAGTTGTTGTATTATGCATTACAAATACAAGTAATGTATTAGATATTTAATATACAGTATATAAGTCTAAATGCTTTCAGGCTGATGGCATGAAATTCACTTACACAAGTTCATGTTATACATAACACTGGAGTTTGAGATGATAAAGCATTTTGCAAAATAAGACAATTTCAGGCATTTTCTTGGCCCTTCAAAAAAAAGAATAAACTTGTCATTGCTCTGAATAAGAAACAAGAAACACAGTTTATAAGAGACCAGCTACTCCCCTGCAATTTAGTTGGACCGGCCTAGGTACTCATGCTCTGCTGACCTTAGAATTAAACTTGTTTCCTTTTGAGCCCCCAGGATTCATTGGATCTACAGGAGCCAGTGTGCCGCGGCAGCCAGCAGCAGAGCCGACCCCAGGGTGGAGGCCAGCGAGGTGGAGAGGGGCCCACCGTTGAACACCAGCTTGTAGGACACCACCTCCTGTTGCAGGCCGCTCTCCTCCACCATGCAGCGGAACACGCCCTCCTTTAGTGGCAGGTCAGGGGTGGGCGCCAGCACACAGGAGGAACCAGAGATGGTGCAAGGATATTGCTTGATGCAGTTGTCTTTCTTCCAGCGGTAAGTGGCATGATAGGAACGCACGGGGCATGGTAGCAGGACGGGTCCATCTTTATCCACTAAAACTTGTTTGGGGATGGTGCTACGTGCCTTAGGAGCTGTAGCCCAGGATGACAGGAAATATTTTAGTGTGATGAAATTATTTTGAATAAAAATACTTTTATTTTATATATACTCTACTGTTCAAAAGTTTGGGATCAATGATTTTTTGGAAGAAGTCTCTTTTGCCAAGACTGAATTTCTTTGACCAAAAAATACAGTAAAAACAGTAATATTATGAAATATTTTTTTTTCATTTTAAAATAACTGTTTTATTTTAACATATTTTAATTGTAACTCATTCCTGTGATGGCAAAGCTGAATTTTCAGAAGCCATTATTTCAGTCTTCATTGTCACATGATCCTTCAGAAATAATTATAATATGCTGATTTATACATTTTTCAGGATTCTTTGATTAATAGAAAGTTTAAAAGAACAGCATTTCTTCAGCAATTCATTTTTGTAACAATGTAAAACTCTTTATTAATTAATTGTCCACGACATTCTAATTTATCGAGATGCACCTGTATATATATATATATATATATATATTTAATGCCTTTGTTGCAGACATAATACGACTATTAATGTGTGTCTTCTGAACACAGAACACTTGTTCCACAAGATTTTATTTTTAATTGTTTTTATTACTAGGGTTTTAAGTGTTTATTGTTCTTTTTGTAAAGAAGATTCTCAAAAAGAAGCAATTTTCAATGCCATTAAACTGTTTGGTCAGCACACTCCAGAACAAATATTTTTATGTCAAGAGATAGGAAAATACAAACTATACAGTGGGTATTGAAAAGAATCACCCCCTTTAAAATAATCACATTTTGTTGCTTTGCAGCCTGAAATGAAGATGGACAGTTTTTGTTTTATCCAGCTGTATTTACTCAGTGCAACTTATAACATCAGTCTTCATTTCAGGCTGCAAAGCAAGAAAATTTGATTATTTTAAAGAGGGATGGTTCTTTTCTATACCCACTGTATATAGAATCAATGCAAAACTGGGTTTCAGTGGGAATTTGGGAAGAAGAAGCATCTGAAACTGTTTGGAAATATTTCAAATACTTCAGTGCTATAAAGTGTTCAGAGATACAACCAGAAAACTGCACCTTTAGAAGTCTTTTTGAACAACCTACCTGTAACATAGCCACAGACCGAGGCATTGGAGTGGTCAAGGGTCTGAACAAGAGTTCTGATTTTTAAATAAGGAGAACAGAAAAATATGAAACTTAGGTTACTTCAACAGGAAAAACAGTAATGCATTATTGTTTTGGGACATTTGTGAGTCCATATGTACCCAGTGCTAATGCTGTAGTCTGCTGGGATTGCAGTACATTTCTTCTTGGAAACATCCCACGCACAATATGGATCTCGTGAAAGGATGCATTCCTGGCAGCTGGCTCCGTAACGACCACAGTCAGCCAGGGGGATGCGCTGCACTTCAAGCTCTGTGCCAATATAGAGATGACCCTGGCACAAAGCAGAATACAGCGGTGAAAGGTGCCATCTGGCTCCTATCAAACACTATTTTAAATAGCTATGTGAACAGCCTTTAAATTACTTACTCATTGTAAATTAAAAAGAGTGATTCAAAGCTAAAAATAATTAGATTGCAGTGGAATAATATGTCCTACCACTGCAGGCTAAAATTGTCCTGTTTTAATGTGAGTTAGCTTCTTTAAAATGTGGGCCACTACCTTTTTAGAGTCAATGGCCATGTTGATGACGGGACTATCATCATGGAATAAAGAGTACTGTGCTATGATAAAGGCTCCTTCTATGGCATGGAGCACCTTCAGGACTTTCCCCTTCTCTGTACAGGAGACACAGGAAAAAGTAGCATTGGAAAAGACACAAAAACAATAATACAATGAGTATTAAAAAAATAAATGTGGTGCTAGATATTGGTGCCATATTGAATATTTGTTGATAGTAGAGTTTTTTTTTTAAATTTATCGGTATCTCAGTATAATATAATATAATCCATTATATCCATACAATATATAATAATGGATATTTAAAGGGGTCATATGATGCGATTTCAATTTTTCCTTCTGTAATTATGTCCCCACTGGATGCAACAAATGCCTCGTTTGTAATGGGTTTTATTGGTTTTGTCTCGTCATGCCGGAAGACACAGCATCACAGTATGTTAAGGGGCGTAACATTTCCGTCACACGCTTGAGGTATTCGGCCAATCACAACGCACTGGATAGCTGGCCAATCAGTGTACACCTAGCTTTTCAGAACGATGAGCTTTGTAAAAATCTACGCGTTTCAGAAAGGCGGGGCATAGAGGAGCAACAATAATGTACATTATGAGGAAAATAATGTGTTTTCTGAACCTTAAACCGCATAAACACATTTCATTATACCAAATACACAAAAATAATGTTCTTTTTAGCAACGTCATATGACCCCTTTAATAGTGTTGCTCATTTCCTCTATTTTTACATTTAGATTACTTTTGCCGCACCTCAAGCTCACTTAAAGTTAATCTTTAAAAACAGTAATCATTTAATAACACTGTTAAATGTAATCTTTAGCAAATCTCAAAAAGAATAACCATTTTCTATACTGTAAATTAATATGTTGTGATGCCTGAATTCCCTTGTAGCATTTAAAACTGAAGATTTTAGTTTCCATGTTTTATTCTTTATTTATTTAGGCAATAATAGAATATTAAAAGCTATTTGTCTGTCAGTCATAATTCCAATATTGGTGTAGCTCCCAAAAATACACCATTTTAGTGCTATTTTAAAGCACATTTCTCTGCAATTCACACAGTACCTGTGCCCAGATAAATGATGCTGTAGTGTTCATCATTGACAGCCAAGACTGTGTCTGCCACAATATGTGTGAAGTGGTCTTGAACTGGCAGGTCTAGAGGAGCTTCGTCGACCGGGATGATCATGTCCTCAATCTCAGGGTGATCCTTGATCACAGTCAGGATCTTCTGGTTATGAGCGAAAGTGTTATTCCTAAAAGCACACTGGATAAAGGTGAACCAAATTAAGAATCGGACTGTGCCTTTGTTTTGTAGATAAATTCAAAATTAATTTAATAAAAGTTTAGAATGTAATCATACTGTATAACAACATGACTGTCTGTTGGCACATAATTTTGCCTTTGACTGGTTAATGTTTCAGTGTGTTGTACCGTTCCAGGACGGGGAGTTGATAAAGGTGAGTTGTAGCCCTTCAGTTTGGATGTAGAAAAGGCTTGGTCAATGTCTTCAATGGAGTATGCACACACTACAGTGGTGTTCCTGTAAAATACATAAATGTGGAAATGGATCTTAAAGGAATAATTCATGACAATTTCGTATTTTGGCCAAAAGTGAATGATGAATTTTTTTTTTTTTTTACAAACATGTAGCCTTTTGCATGAAAAGACATTTGATCAGCTGGAGTCATGTGGATTACTTATGAATTATTGTGATGTTTTTATCAGCTGTTTGGAGTCTCATTCTGATGGCACCCATTCACTGCAGAGCATCCATTACTGAGACACTGATGCAATGCTACATTTCTCCAAATCTGTTCCGATAAATAAACAAACTCATCAACATCTTGGATGGCCTGAGGGTGTGTAAATGTTCAGCAAATTTTCATTTTTGGGTGAACTATTCCTTTAATCAAGTATAGATAAATGTAATGAGTCAAGTACAGTAGCGATGCACAGACATTAAAATTTGGGCCAATACAGATAAAACAATAATTATTTTTACTTATAATTATTTTTTACTATTTACTATAAATAAATAAATAAAGGTGAAATTAATTTTTAGGATCGCCAACATTATAATGAACAGTATAAAAAAATGTATATTCATTCAGCGATCTGCTAAAGATTACATTTACCAGTGTTAATGTAAAAATTGGGGAAATGAGCGTGCACTAAACATGCATTAAATATCGAACCACTGATAAATTTTAAAAATTGTAATATTGATCAATATGGTACCAATATTTGTATATACCTTTAAAAAAGGTAAGATTGAAGTAAGCAAAACTGACAATGTTTTTGTCAGTATATATATATATATATATATATATATATATATATATATATTCCATAGACTACAATTCAAAAGTTTAATACTTTTATTCATTAAATTAATCAAAAGTGACAGTAAAGACATTTACATGATCTCAAAAAAATATTTTTCATATGCTGTTTTTAAACTTTCTATTCATCAAAGAATCCTGAAAAAAATTATTACGGTTTCCACAAAAATATTCATATTCAAATATAAAAAATGTTTCTTATAAGAAATGCACCAAATCGGCTTATTAAAAAATGTATATTCATTCAGCGATCTGCTAAAGATTACATTTACCAGTGTTAATGTAAAAATTGGGGAAATGAGCGTGCACTAAACATGCATTAAATATCGAACCACTGATAAATTTTAAAAATTGTAATATTGATCAATATGGTACCAATATTTGTATATACCTTTAAAAAAGGTAAGATTGAAGTAAGCAAAACTGACAATGTTTTTGTCAGTGTTTTGAGTAAAAATCTATAGGGATGTATACTTTGGTGTAGAATGTAGTCTTGCTGGAGGCATTATTTCAGCAGCCTGATGTCAAATGTCTTCCCACTCACTTTTAGACTTAACATCTGCTTACCAAGCATTGGAGAAGATGCCGTATATCAACCCAGTGCGGTGAGAAGAGGACAGAACGAAAGCCTGCTTGAAGCTGTTGTACTGTACAGGAGTTCCAGCTTTTCCACACATAATACGTGCCTTCAGGAATGTAGTCCAGGAGTTTGGCAGCATGTTCTGAAGCCCTCCCTCATCAACCTGAGCCGCAGATGCAAAGGTTATCAGAAACCTAGTGTCCTCACAGCAGTGTATATGGAGCAAGAATGGATAAAAGCGTGTTACCATGCAGACTCGTCCTATGCGAGCCCTGTATGGCTCTTCATCTAGACTGGTTGTACTGTTGACCTCACTGAAGAAGAAATAGATCTCATCTTTGAGTTTCTCTGTGTATGGTATCACAGCAGCTCCAGCAAACTGGGGATCTGAGAGAGAGGGTGAGAGCAGATTTATTATTTTCATAGGCTTAAACTTGTATTTAAAAGCATCAGTCTTTAAACCTAAAAAAAAAAAAAAAAATTTTAAACTATATTTTCTTTTTCCCCCCTGATTTTCTATTTATTTTTCCTTTTTTTTTTTCTTTTGGTCACTCTAGGACTTTAAAACAAACTCTGTTTTACAGTAATGTATCTGATTGAATAATAGGCTGACACAGCATAGCTGGATTCGTTAGCTCAGTCCTTCAAGAAAATCTCCAAACTGCTAATGCAGTATAGATAACAACTGTTAACTCACTCTGTAACCATTTATTCTCTGTCTTCAGCTGTTTTTTGGAGCCATATGTGCGGCGGATAGAGCCAGTCTGTCCTGCAAACGCTGACAAAGCAGAGTACAGATTCCCATCTAAAAGAGGAGAGAGAGAGAGAGAGAGAGATAAGTATATCCATCTGCCAAACCTCTGTGACTACAGTTCTGTCAAATCAAAGATTCCCTTAAACTTTGATTCAAATTTAGACATGTTTGCAATACTTTGATACTCAAACAAAAAAAGAGGGCTGTGGACACACACACAAAGCAATTTCATGCCAGGGCTGCTTCTACTTAATTCTGACTGACAGAAGAGACATTGTTGAGACATGCAATTTCAGTCAGAATCAGTGTTGACCTTTCAGCTCTGCTAACCACACGTAGCATATAAACTACTCAATTTTGTATTTGACATTTAGAACGAGAAGAGAAGGGTGAGAGCTCTCTTTATCATATACTACAGGGATTGTTGTTCTTTTTGGAAGTTGTGCTGTTATTTCATCCGATACACTCTATATTTTCAGTATAATGCTTTGTTTATAACACCTGGATCTCTGTTCTCTGATGGACGTCATTTATGTCAGGTCAGAGAATAAAATTAATTAAAAGTTACATTACAGTCTGATGCACTGTACATATCAAAATGAAAGAAAATGTGAACAAATAACATTCTCTCTCATCTTCCTTGGATTATATCCTTCTTTTTCCCTTTCACCATTCCTCTCCTCTCTCTCTACCTGCTGATAGACTGATGGAGCGCTGAGAAGGGAAAGGTGCCAAGATGTTAGACGCTGCTGTTTCCTCCGGCATGTCCGTCAGTACACTGTCATTTACCTGGGTGAGAGAGATGATGTGATTATTCAGTACTTCTCAGGCTTTTCATTTAAAAAAACAGCATAGACACTGCAAGTACTTTGAGAAATCAGGCCACGTTTTAGCAAAAAAAGATGATGAAAACTTTTTTCCATAATATTATTCATCCACTAAATGTGTGTCCCACATTCCAGATGTCAAACTCTCATTTTATTGTATTGCTTTCCGTTCCGTCTGATTTTCATCCTAGCACAGTCGTGAAGGAAACTGTTAAATGGTTGGGTTATAAATCACACCCACGGCAGAGACACACTAAGATTATGAAAATGTGCAGAATAATACAGAAGCAGTTAAATAAATAGGATGAATTCTGCCAAAGCAGCTGAGCTCGCAGGGAAAACAGGTCTCGTTTTCCTTTGCTCTTTGATGTAATCCACAGAAAAAGCTAAAGCAATTGAAATAGTGATTGAAACAACTAACATTCGATAAGTGTCTTCACAACAGTTGTGATATTAAAGGAATTTGAAATGTCTGCATTGAGCAGGTGTGGTGTGCATGTTTTTGTTTTTGTTTCTTTAATTACAGAATAGATAGATAATTTGACCTTCCTGTGTCTCAAACAGTAGAGCATTGCACTGGCAACGAAAGCAAGAATTGATCAAATGCTTACTCTGAATGCTATGTTATAACATAACAAATAACAAAGAAAGACACATCTTAAACATTTTTTGCTTACAGATGGGAGTTTAAACTGTGTCAGGACTGTAATAGTCACATATATAATGGCAGGTAAGGCTTCTTACCAGGAGCCAACATTTAGGAGCACCGGCTCTTGTCCCACAGACCACAAATGAATCGCCGACTCTCTCAATTACTGTGATGAAATTATCACACTCTTGCTACAGAAAGATGAAAGGACACAATTTGTGTCAATGCAAAACATATAGACATCATATATTATAAATTACAGAAATGGATATAGTTGCTAAACACAGTATGTCATCCATTTTTACTTTTTTCTATACTAAACTGGATTTTGTGGACATAATCAACTTTGTTTTTCAGAATGATCAACATAACCACTCCTAACCACCATCTTTATTTAGATATTTAAAGAAGCCCATCACTCATCAGTTGGCTGTCTGTGCCATTACCCTTAAAAAATAGCCTCATTCAGTCAACTCTGAGTGATGACCTACTCATCATGGATGACTATTTCTGTAGAAGTTGAACCAGGGCAGTGAATCCAGCCAGGCTCCAGCTTGCATAATGAGGAGCATCTGGGAAACATGTTCACAAATGTTCTGATTACAGTCAGTTTCAGAATTTTTTATTTATTATAATCCAGCTAAACCTGATGGTTTAGAAAAAATGGATAACTGGGCACATTGTGCTAGTCATTTCTTGTGGTTAGATTTGTGAGTGCACTGAATCACAAGGCTTAAATGAGTTAAGATAATCCTATTCTTTGCTTGAAATCACAGGCAACTTGAGGTCTGATTGACTAAATATTGTCGGATTGTTTCTCTTACCTTCCATACTGGTGATTTAGAGACACATGTCTCTTTTGCATTCTCATCCATCAGCGCATGGATCTGTGAGCACATCAACAACATTACTAATCATGCAGCCTTGCGTACATAATAATGTCCCGACAAATTATTCTCATCATGTTAAAGCTATATTCTATGATTACAGTGAGAAACAGATCATAAAGTGTTATGGCGACAGTAAAATGATAAGAAACCATAACTATCCCTCCATGGCAAGAAATGCTTGCTTTTATGCAACCACAATTAATAATTTCAGAGAACCTCCATTATATAAAGCATTGTTCTGCTCCATAAATAATAGCACAGTTTTGCTACTTGCTGAGAACCAGCAATCTGGGTCAGGATTTAGGACAGTGATAGATCTACTTTGGCTTCAGGTTATGGTGTCAGCCCCCCTACCTGCGTGTCATGCACTCCTTTATCACTGAAGGTGAGCTTATAGATGACCCCTTGACCCCCCACATACAGGACATCAGTTTTCTGTTGGTGGTAAACCGTTGTGTAGTTCTCCGGCTTCATGAAGCGAAACCGAGGTGACTCTATAGACAAATTGACAGAAATGCAGTGTATAAACAATGTTTCTGGCAGTCTTTATATGTATATATTCACATATTGCATGAGTAAATAATGTGTGTCTACTAAAATAGTGGTTCTCAACTGGTGAGTTGCAATTCAAAAATGTGTCACAGGGAAAATTATGCAAATGCAAATAATAAAATGCAACTAGCCATAAAAATATGTATAGTTAGGATAACAAAATAATAGGCTTTTTATATGAGCTAATTTAAGTGCATTAAATGCTTCCAGTGCTTTTATTGTTGAGATAAAAGGCTGTGCATCCAAACTCTGCTAATATTAACTGAATATTTGAACCAGTGTTGCATCCAGTATATGCATTAAAGGAATAGTTCACCCCAAAAATTAAAAATTTGCTAAAAAAATTAACTCGCCCTCAGGCCATTAAAGATGTAGATAAGTTTTTGTTCATTGAAACAGATTTGGAGAAATTTAGCATTACATCACTTGCTCACCTCTGGGTGACATCAAAATAGGAGTCCAAACAGCTGAATAATCCACAAGTAATCCAGTCCATCAGTTATTGAAGTGAGTCAATTGTGAATTGAAAAGCTGCATGTTTGTAAAAAAACAAAGCCATCATTAAGTCACTTCTTGCCAAAATACCAGTCCATAATTCATAATAATGTTGAAAAGTGCATCCCCTGTTGTCCTCTCAAATTAAAATCCACCAGTATATTTCTTTAGAATTGTTTTGTACTGTTTTCAATTGATCTGTGCATATTTCAACCTGATTCAGATTCATTATTTTTTTCACTGGAGAAAGCAACATTATGGATAGAGGACTCATATTTTAGCCGAAAGCAATGGTTTGAAGTTTAAAATTTCTTAATGATGGATTAAAATATGTAGCTTTTTACTTCACAGAATGTTAATTGATGGGCTGGAGTTGTGTGGATTACTTGTGGATTATTGTGATGCTTATCAGCTATTTGGACTCTTATTCTGAAGGCACCCATTCACTGCAGAGGATCCATTGGTGAGCAAGTGATGTAATGCTAAATTTCTCCAAATCTGTTCAGATGAAGAAACAAACTCATCTACATCTCAGATGAACTATTCCTTTAACAAAACTGTCAATTTTCCTCTCTTCTGCCTGTTCAATGTAAATCATTTTGCATATTGTTGGACTTATGCAGTTACTACATGTATATTAAACATTGTTATATTATTTAAGGGCTTTGAATTGATTTTCACTGTAAAATCTGGGTTTTAGAGCAAAACCCGTTGAGATCTAATTGATCTAAAAGTTTAACTCAAATGCCTAAGCCAGTTTCGTAGGTGTTTTTCATCTGACCTAAATGGAGAAAACTATCAAAGGTGGTTGTCAGGGGTAGCAGCTATGTAAAACTATAAATTATTGATACTACATTGTATAAAGCGGAGATTTGCGATTATTTCATAAAACTAACACGTTGCAACAGGTGTTTGTCTCAGTCTGCGCTGCTAGAGATTTCATCTTAATAACTGGCTATTCGAAGCGGGGTCTGGCGAGGTCGAAAAAGCCTGCAAACCAGTCTGATCCGGTTTTTATTTGCATACGAAGGTGTCGTTTTCCATAACACAGAACTTTAGTTTATGGGATTATTTGTCTCGCCATCGCATCCTTCGTGATTTCAGGGAAGACGTGCACTGAATTGAGGATTTGGACAAGCGTCGTTGTCCATGGTGCTGAAGTGGGCGGTCAAGACCTCATTGGAGACTCATATTGGTCTTTCTCGTTGCTTCCTCATATCTGTAATTGTAAGACGTTGTAGTATCACGTAACACTGATGGCGATGACCGTGAGACATGTCGATGTTTTCAAATAAACACTTGTGAATCGCATGTCCCATATTGGTTGTATCGACATAGACTACTGTGAACGTGCTTGTAATAAATAATAGCGGTAGGTTTCGTGGAATTTTCCATGGGCTATTCTCTTCTGCGAGTGTGGTTTTTCTTGGATCCCATGTTGTGTCCTGAGTCTTGGAAATGCATCAGTTGCTGCAGTGCCATCATTCCCGTTAACTCGTGCACCTGCATTGCAGCTCTGTAGATTGCGTCCTATGATTTTCTTAAATCAAACCCACTTGCAGCGTATTCTACACGAAAACTGCGTTCAAAATTAGCAACGTCATTCAATGCATTTACAAGTTTAGTGAGAAAGTGAATGGTCGTTTCAGAAAATTGCTTATTCTGTAGCCTCCAGGAAGATTCAGGAGCTTGTTTACTCGCACATCCCAAGCAGACTACTAGCTCTAGTCTTGACCAACACCACTAACATGTCTTAAAGATATGTTACTATGGATACACAGTCAAAAATCCTTCCAGCATCCTTGTATGAACCTTCGGCTCTTAGATATGTTAGAAATGTTTAGGATATGTTTAGTTGAGATATTTTGTCTCCATCACTATCTGCTTAATTTGTATAGCTACAGTGTCAGTACTTAACGCGTTGCGTTTACTGTATTTTTCATTGTAGTCTAATATATAGGCTTATGTAGGCTACTCTTAACCGTAATTAATATCACACATAGCCTACGTGATAAAGTGAAGTCATGACGTGCATATAAGCCTCAATCGGTTTTTGTTTTCAAAACAGCAATGTAAAGCAATCAGTGCCCATCTTGGCCTGCTTCCATTCACTAACATTGTGATTTGACTTTTTCTGTTTTTTACATCCTAATGAAATATGAAGTCTTATTACGCAGCAATTTTTGTTTTCCCCAGGGGAAAATAAGATTAGCAATTTCTGCTTTAGTAAGGATAACCATCAGAGACTGAGATCGAAAAAATTCCATTACTCTCCACAGAATCCATGCAGACTTAAACTGTTACACTGAAGAAACATAAAGTCTTACCCATCACGGTGAATTTCAGCCGAGGTGATTTTTCGGCCAAAACCACTGAGAAAAGAGTCGCCAGTATGAGCAGATTCATGTTGTTCCGCGATGCTTTAATTGGAGTGACGCCACGTCAATAAACTCTCGCCGCAGATAAAGGACTGGTGTTGTTTTGCAGAAGTGCGTGTGTGAAAAGCGGGCGCCGTCTGTCCCTCGCCAGACCTCTCTGAGAATCTGAGCGCTAATTGCCTTCACGTCACACCTACTGGAATAGAGGGAATGGAGCGAGCAAACATGCGCTCACAACAGCGATCACGCGGACTGACATCTATAGATTAGGACTGCGGCTCTCTAGGACTGAACTTGCCTACCCCTGGTTTAGGCCTACATGTAGGGGTGTAGCAAACATTAGGCTATAACAAATGCATATATTGTTATATATTAGGGGCTGGGGTCCTTTCTGTCCCCCCTCTAAGATAAATGGTAAAGTGTGCCCCTTAAAAGCACAAGTGGCCCCTGCCTGACCCAGTATTTTAACCTTATAATGCATACATTAATAAATCACTAAATCACAAAAACAAAAAAAACCCTGCATTTAGGACTTTAATTTTATGTAGGTTATTGGCAGTGTGTAAAGATAAAAAATATTTTTTCACGCGGACTGACATCTATAGATTAAGATAAACACTCTTTTTTAAATTTACATGCAATGCATTGTGAATAATGTATTTCACTGTAATAGCCTAGTTTGTAGATCTCGCAGTCACTATAAATATTGGCTTACAGTTTATAGTTACAAGTTAGTTACAAGTTACCATAGTTTAGGCCAGGGGTAGGCAAGTTCGGTCCTAGAGAGCCGCAGTCCTTGTAAAGATAAAAAATATTTTTTAATGTCTATAATGTATCTATCTATCTATCTATCTATCTATCTATCCATCCATCCATCCATCCATCTAGCCAGCTATCTTGCTGAATGAATGGCTATGCTATTTTTATTTTATTATTCTGAATATCATCATTTGTCACATTTAGTCAGTCAAATCCATTTTGAGGTTAATTGCTTTAATTTTGTGTCCCAATTTTGTGTCCCAATTTTGTGTCCTAATTTTGTATTTAATTATTCAACTAAATTACTTAATAGTTGGTTTAGTATTTTACATTAGTGACACCTTTGAAAATGTATAAATATCAAAAAGAACTATATCAAAAGACATTTATATATACTGTAAAACTTCATCAGGGGGTGGCAGGGTAGTGGGCCAACTTACCCTAGCAGGAATCATCTTACCCATTTTAATACTTTACATTTTGTGCTATAACAACTAAATTAGCAGATGCTTCTATTTTTTTCCTATAACATACCGGCTTTAACATTATCTTCCTGCATATGCTAAACTTATATCAAAATATGTTAACATTTAAAAGTAAATCATATATATATATATATATATATATATATAATTTATTTATTTATTTTAGTGTGCTGTTACTTTTGCTTTGTCAGGTCTTGCCAATACTCAGATTTTGACAGAATCAGCATTAAGGATCAGCTCACTCTGTGTCTTGCCCATGTTATTGTCCTATTCATCAGACCTATCAATACTCCTGAAGCTCAGAATCAGTAAGCCAATGCTCACTGCATCAGTGGAAGAGTGGGCCTGAAAAGATACTTACCTTTGCTTCTTCCTCATTCAATTATTTGGCAAAAATCTTCAACATTTATCATAAGTAGTTTCAAATGATGTCTGGGTAAACTGATATATTTCAGTTTCAAAGCTTTTAAATTGTGCAAATTTGCAAACATACAGACCGCTGTCTCACAAATGCGTCTCTCTTTGGCTCCACCTAGCGGCCAAAAGGCTTGAGTGCCATGTACTTTGGTCAAAGTGGTGGCACAAATAGTTCCTAACTTTTGTGAGTCTATAACAGAGATCTGAACATACTGTAATCACACTTTGTTTGACCATGAGATGATGTTGACTGCATAAATACATTAGTTTGAAAATAATAAGCATGGTGTAAAAATAATTTTCACTCAGAAATTGCTAATAAATTCCACAAATAATTACAAAGAAATGGCAAGTAACATATAAAATTAAACTTGATATTTTGAAGTAGAAAGATATTTCTACAATTTTTGTTTTATTTACAACATTAATAAATATTTACAGTGTGTATATACAGTATATAGGTTTCAAGATATGTGATAATTCTCATCTTAATAAAATTATTAGTTTAACTGTTGGTTGAATTGTATTTTAATTGTAACACATTTTTTTGTGAATAAGAAGCATTTTTATTTGATTTCTGTACAAGATTCTGTCTGTGGGCTGAGCGCATCTGTAGCCAGACAGACCTATATAATAGATTGAGACATCTAGAGGTAATCCTAAAGGGTTTAAACCACTGGTCATACACGTGATTATTATCTTTTTTTCTGGGTTATTCTGGGCAGCAGCAGAAATGATTTGCTCTGACTTACTCACTCTCTCTCTCTCTCTCTCTCTCTCTCTCTCTGTCTCTCTCTCGCCCTGCAGAATCCAGTTAAAGCTTGAGAACTGTCTGTCCAACAAAACGACGGCCTGCGTAAAACATCACTGCGAGTCCCCTGTCCCTTCCTGTACTCTCAGACAATAATCTGTCATCAGCGTAATAAAACATACCCTTCACAGATCAATTTCACTTTGTTATTACACTGAAAAAATTGTATAAATACTGTAATATCAAACTTAAATCGTAGGTAATCAGATGAGAGGCAGAAGAGGAAAATTATTTCTCTTTTTAACAAACAAGACAGTGACTGATGCAGATAATTATGCAGATTCTTCTCTCCTGACACCACCGTTACATCTCATGTCATTTATCCTCCACGATCAGGTGAGCTAAAGAAAAACTGCAGCCACTCATGGTTATAGGTGCTGCACTGATGAAACATGGAGCTTACATCTAGACTATTTTATACTGCATACACCAAAGTAACAAAGAGGTATGATCACAATGTCATTTAAAATTACAGCTGTCAACTGTATTAATGAACCCTGCAAAGGACTCAAATTAATTTTACCTATAAATGAATTTGAATTTTTAATGAGGAGGTTTAAAATGGAACACTACGGAGTAAAGATAGCAAGACAAGATGGTTTTCTGAACAAGCAGACTTGCATAGTCTTTAATAATCCAATGCAAAATATGATAATTTACAGATGCATTAGCAAAAACATCAAAATTTGGAAATATATCTTATATACATTACATAAATTGCAAAGCATCTTAAGTAAATGACCATGTGTGGTCATGACATTTGTGCATAGCCATATCACTTGATGTTGTTAAAAAAAAGAAAGACAAAAAAGTGTCACAAGACATTTCTGAATGACCTGCAGAATGTTTGTAATCTTACTGCAACCTATAAGAATAACAGCTGTAATGTACAATATCACACACAATATGTAATACAGTAATGCATTTCAATCATTAACTTATCCATTTAAAATATTTCACTTTTTAAAAACATATGTTTACTTATTTTGTGTTGTAATGCTACAAACTACAATATATGTTCAAGATGGTTTTCTGAACAAGCAGACTTGCATAGTCTTTAATAATCCAATGCAAAATATGATAATTTACAGATGCATTAGCAAAAACATCAAAATTTGGAAATATATCTTATATACATTACATAAATTGCAAAGCATCTTAAGTAAATGACCATGTGTGGTCATGACATTTGTGCATAGCCATATCACTTGATGTTGTTAAAAAAAAGAAAGACAAAAAAGTGTCACAAGACATTTCTGAATGACCTGCAGAATGTTTGTAATCTTACTGCAACCTATAAGAATAACAGCTGTAATGTACAATATCACACACAATATGTAATACAGTAATGCATTTCAATCATTAACTTATCCATTAAAAATATTTCACTTTTTAAAAACATATTAGTTTACTTATTTTGTGTTGTAATGCTACAAACTACAATATATGTTTATAGGCTTTTAAGACTTCTATAGCAACATACATAGTTCTATGGGTTATACATTTGTGCAACAAAAAGTTACAATATCTAAAATTAATTGTAGGTGTTGTCAAATGCATCATCGCATTAATTTGGCAGTGAAATGAATATCTCTAAAGGCTAACTGTACCAGAGCCCTCGCAAAGGAATATATTTTATTCATTATACTAAGAGCTGTGAGCTTAAAAAAATCAAGCAATAACACACCAAATCAAGGGCACACCACAATAATATCCAACTGTTATTTAATTATTTAAAGGTACAATAGGAGATCTTGGAAAATGCTAACTTTAGCCTGATAGCACTGAAAGCGAACGTCCCACCCTTCCTGCAATCGCCGTCCAAAGCCACGCCCCCTGAACGCATTTACACTCACAGACCAGAGACAACATTACTTGTGTGTGTGTGTGTGTGTGTGTGTGTGTAATTTCATAGTAAATAAATTTCATGTTTAATAATATTTTATGCACTGCACTTTTATATAGAATTTACAATTAATACTAGTTAATAGTAAATAAATACAATTTCTTTTCTTTTTACATTTATTTATTATTGATTTTTGAATATGAATTATTACTATTGGACTATAAAAGTATTTGTTGATTGTTTGTCTTCAGACTTTGGCATTGCTCAGCAATATTACAGACTTTATTACTGATATGATATTGTTATTATTATAAAGAGTTAAGTTACCTACTTACATTAATGTCAATCAGGCTCGCAAAACATGAATGAGATTAGTATTATTTATTAAAGTTGAGTTACTATACCTATTTACATTGTTGTCATTCAGACTTGTTATGTTATCATAAGGCTTTGCACCTTGCTGTGTTGGCAATCTGCATTATGTATGAGCAGTTGCTCCACTTTTAAGATTTACTACAGTTTTAAAGGCTCAACTAATTGTAACCATGGCCATGAATTCTCTATTTCAGCTCAAATAAGCTTCATTGTGAATCTCCCAGTGTCCCCACCATCTCCACCTCCACCCATGGATGATCGTGGCACAAAGTCTATAGTGGCAGTGTGTTTTATCTGACCTTTGCTCTGACTCCAGAAGAACATAAACACAAAACAGATCGCCACAGAGCTGAGGAAAGAAAGAAATCCCATGGTGGTAGCAATGATGAGGGTTTTAGCATCAAACGGGTAAGGACTTGACACCCGTGCGGAGGAGTTGGTAGAAGGAGGTAATGAAATTTCCATCCATCCCTCGTCTGAGAAATACGATGCTGTGCGGTTTTGTGGAAGCCCCTCCACTTGCAGACTCACTGAGATGCTGTCGTTACCTGCTGCATTAGATGCAGTACACAGATATGTTCCACTGTCCTGTACTTGGGTATAACGCACCTCCAAGCTCCCATTAGCAAGCATTCGTACTCTCCCAACAGAGCTAAGTGCAGTCTGCTGGGCTGACAGCCAAGTAATAGAAGGCGACGGATAGCCGTCTGCTTTGCAGTCAAACCGTACACTCATGCCCTCCACCACACTCGCATCCTGCTGCTGGTGGTCCAGAATCTGCGCTTGTCTGCACGTAAATATAACCGTGAGATCAGCCTCTGAAAAGTCACGAAAAGCCTTCTTGTGCTGATTTAGAGGCGAACAGGTGGGTTGGCGGCCATCGAAATCCAGCCGTCGCCGACGTCGCATGACCCAGAGTAGCCTGCAGTCGCAAGCCAACGGGTTTCGGTCCAGCCTCAGTGTCTGCAAGTTCCCTACGGAGTGGAAGACGCTTTCTTCCAATGTGGACAGTTGATTCGAGGACACATTGAGCAGACGAAAGTGGACCAGACCCCTGAAGGCACCCGGCTCAATACGTAGCAGGTTCCCACCTACCAGGTGCAACTCTTGGAGCCGCAGAAGCTCCCCAAGAAGGTTGCCCTGTATGGAGGTGATGGGGTTGTAGGACAAGTCAAGGTACTGCAGGTAGGTGAGAGGACGCAGCGCAGCATAAGGTACGGCGCTGAGGTTGCAGTTGCTTAAAATTAAGGTGGTAAGGTTCAGACCAACTAAGCTGTTGCTATTTAGCATCTCGAGAGAAGGCCAGTGGAGGATCTGCAAGGTGCGCAGCTGGTGCAGTCGGCGAAAAGCGTTGTTGGGCAACACGCTTATGGTCAGCTTGCGCAGGCGCAGCTTGGTCAAGCTCTGAAGTTGCGACAGAGCCTCGGTGGGGACAGAGGTCAAATTGCTGCGGTCCACGTTCAACTCCTTCAGCGCCTGAAGCCCAACAAATGCCCGTTGCGAGATAAACACCAGGTCGTTTTCTCCTGCATCAAGCTGCTGTAAATTAATCATGTCCCGGAATGTGTAATCCAGAAAAACCAGGATCTCATTCTCGCTGATATCCAGACGTCGAAGATCGGAGAGGCCGGAGAAGACCCCAACCGGGAGGATCTTGAGACGGTTGTTCTTAATCCTCAAGTATCGCAGGTTCTTTAGCCCCTGAAATGTTTCCACCTCAATCATAGAGATTATGTTCTCACTCAGGTCCAGGTCCTCTAGCTTTGATAGGCTGGAGAACTGACGCCTGGCCAGTGTTTTCAGCTGGTTTCTTGAAAGATCTAAGCGTTTGGCATTGCTTGGTAACCCCTCAGGCACACCCGTCAGGTGTCTTGAGGAGCAGTTTACCTCCAAAGTGTCATGGTAACAAGTGCATTTCTGTGGGCAGGTGAGGTCAGCAGCCGATAGGTTTACGCACCACAACAGCAGGACTGTCCATGCGCCCCACTGGCCACACAGATCCATGAACATCTTACCTCCTTCCTGCAAAAAGAATATGGTCAATGATGTGTCAAATATGAGGAAAAATCTTTTAAAAAACAAATGTGACCCTGGACCACAGAACCAGTCTTAAGTTGCTGGGGTATATTTGTAGCAATAGCCAAAAATACATTGTATGTGTTAAATTATTTTTCTTTTATGCCAAAAATCATTAGGCTATTAAGTAAAGATCATGTTGAAGATATTTTGTACATTTCCTACTGTAAATATATTAAAACTTAATTTTTGATTAGTAATACGCATTGCTAAGAACTTTATTTGGACAATTTTAAAGGCGATTTTCTCAATATTTTGATTTTTTTTCACCCTCAGATTCCAGATTTTCAAATAGTTGTATCTCGGCCAAATATTGTCCTATCCTAACAAACCATACATCAATGGAAAGCTTCAGCTTTCAGATGATGTATAAATCTCAATTTCGAAAAATTTACCCTTATGACTGGTTTTGTGGTCCAGGGTCACAAATGTCAAGTTCACAGAAATGTATTTCTGATTGGTTTCATATGGTTTTAAAAATGGTTCATATGGTTTTGTAATTTTCAAGAAGTTTCAATTTACAATCTACATGTGAGTGGATTTTTTAAGTTTTTAAATATATTTCACAAAGTTAAAAAGTATCTTTTTAATATTTCTATAGGTAGAGAGGCAGTTTTTTAAATATTTTTTTTTATAATTAAAAATAAAAAAGATTATGCCAAACTACTAAAAGTTTTCTTTTCATTCTTTTTATTAGTTATGACACAACAGTTTGACATTTCTGACTTTATTTCCTCCAAAATATCAAAATTAACTTTAATTCATTGTAACATTGTATTTATGAGATTTGCAATGATGTATTTTTGAATACATGAATAGAT